CCGCGCGTGCTGTCCCGGGTCGAATCCAAGACCGGCTCTCGCGCAAGCCAACCTCGTACGACAGAACTGCAACCAAATCAGTCTAAGAGAGTAGAAACACTGGCTTGTACGTCGGCTGGCTTCCGCGAATCATAGTATGGGCTAACGTTATTTAAGGCAGTTGGCACGATAAATCGCTATACAGGTGTAGGATTTGTACAACTGGCTTAACAGAATTCCGTGACCTCGGACAGGCGCTGCGTGAAGCCTTTTCCAAGGAGGGTACCTCTATAACGCCCTATTGAGCAACAACTTTACGTCCCAAACGCCTTCCTTGCCCGCCCACAAACGGACGACCGTTTCTGACGCTCGTATTCATTCATTTGCTGAGCAAATTATGAAGCAAAGGGATTGGTATGAAGCGGCGGTGATGCTGCATGCATATATGGGTACACATATGCAGCCGTATCTTCGGTAGCGGTGATTGGCAAGATGCGTACGGGAAACTCGTCCGAAATCGATTTACAAGTCACTGAGAACGGAGGCTTTTTCTTCGCAGGATTTTGACCGTTTCACAGGCTAGTTAGGAAACCATCGTGCCATGCCTTTAATAAGCCGCTCAGGTTTTGAGTGGAAGTAGAATCTGCGAGAATCGAAAAGGGACTGATCAGCGACGAAGTCATACACTTTTATCCTCCTAAGTGGGTATCGATTTTTTTTGTATTTTACTTCTTTCGTTTTTTCGATACTGCAGTTATGATCCTTGCAAACGAGAGGAACGAGAGGGCGTAGGAAGGGGCGTGAACAGTCCTTCCAACGAATCGTCGCGGACTCAAGGCCTCATCATTGGTGACGATGCAATGATCATGGCTGTGTTTACAGAAGCGGAAAAAACTAAGAACCAGCTGAAATCGCGCTTTTCTTTAGTTTTTCAGACTTTTTGATTGCACACGAAAACTTCGCTTGCTTCAATTAAGAAGGCGTGAAAAAGCCATCCTAAAAATGGAGTTTATCGATTCAAGTGGTTAATGGCAGAGAACTGTGACGAGCAGGTATTGAATACTTGGCACCGCAGGAAGGGGAAGTTTGGTTCACTCGGACGGGAGCCGATCATAGATTGTACCCCAGAACTGGTGCATTTTAGGAGGCGTCTTGCCAGTACACAACATTCGCTCTACAAACTGTAAATACAATCCTTATCCCTGAGCCACAGTAGGCGTGGCATTTGAACATGGCACGGAATTGGTTACTCGTGGAATATTCCAGTCTGGGACAACTGTCATCTTGTTCTGTGTTGGACAGAGACACGACAACAATTGTGTCAAGATGAAAATATCTCACCAGAAGCATACCAGATTAAGTTAAAGCATGCAGCCACGCCTACCCGATCTCAGTGATTTCTAGTACATTTGTGGGTTATTACATCTATCCTAACGACTGATCTTAAAGGCACAGTTCGCGACCGCAAATTGCGGGAAACGGAACTCAAATAGGCACAAAAAAGTGCTAAGTATCTGATTAGCGGAGAAAAGCAGCAGAAAAAGCAGTCCGAAATGTTATAGAGAAAGATAACATAGTGGCTACTAGCTAGTAGCTAGCAGCCGGTGAGGGTCGGCATGGGCCTAAGGGGTGTCCATGGGCCTAATTAGTCAGCTTCTAGCGGAGTTCTTGCCGTTTTTCACATTTTGAAAGTAGCGCAGCCTCAAAAATCGCCTTCCGGATCGTCCGACACATTTGAGAGGTCATAGCCTTATTTTATCGCGGAATGTGCCTTTAATGTCTGTTCAAAGGAGAATGACTTATTGTTCCAATTTTTTTCCGTTACTGCAAGTTGATCACCCACTTGGTAGTCATAACGTGAGGCGTTAGCAAGTGTCAACCTTCACTATAGGCAGTTACGCACATTAACGAGGTAACATGATTAAAAATTTCAAAGCATCTTACCCTTGAATGGCAACCACCAGTGCAGCAAGCGGCACCAATAGCGTTATGTTCATTGTCGCCTTGCGAATTGAGCTGAGACTGCTATGAGCGCTTGCGAATCATTTTTAAGACAGGACAAATTCTGTTTTCCGACGTCTAGTCAAAACATCAACTAGGAGACATGAATCTTAGGAGAGAAATAAAATGTTGAGCCTACGACAGTCATCTTTTTGGAAACAGCTTTTCATTAAGAAAGGTGAATAATATGGTGGGAATTCGTAATCACGGCATTTTTATATTGTTTGATTCATCCTCCGCAAGCCTTCCCTCGCTTCATTGACATGGAGCAAAAAACTCCATTGTGGAGAGGACCCCTTTCACGGGGACAAACTGCTACTCATAGCTCTGCTTGATGCTTGGTCCTTCTGGTCAAGTTATTTGGGTGACTTAACTTGAAATGTTAGACACGCGCTCACTACTTCTTTGACCGAATACAAGGTTCTATGGACCTGGGTTACCCTAAAGAAGAGAACCTTTAGACTTGTTAGATTCAGGTTCAGCACTCACTAATAGATGTCGCTGAGCTATCTCCGGCCCCTTTTAGATCCGTTGCGCGTTTTAATAACGGCTGAGTGGAAGACATTTTTAGAGACGCAGGTACAGTACTTGTCAGCTTTATATTATTCCTTAGCGAGATGAGCAGGTTCACAGTGAATTTAGCTTATCTGCTGATCTCTAATATTTTGATTGTCACGGCACTTTCTGATCAGCATACCCTCAAGGGCTGCAGTTATTCTCGTGTTGTGATGAGCAGCTGTCCTTCTGAAAAAAGTATTAGGTTGTCCGGAAAGTTCTCAGCGTTTTGAGTGTTTCACTTTAAACGATCATAACTTTCTTAATACTCATCGGATTTAATCGAAATAAGCACCGTTCGAATCAGCACACTTTTGCCAATGTGACACCAGTCGATAAATCCCATCAAAGAAAAAACTGGGTGGTCGAGAATCCACGAAATCCACGAAGGCTTTTTTGCCTGGTCCTGATTGATGAAGTATTTTCCAGCAAGGAAGTTCTGAAAATGTTTGAAAAGGTGATAGTCGGTTGGTGAAAGGTCTGGAGAATATGGTGGGTGAGGTAGAACTTCAACCCCCAATTCGTTCAATTTATGGATAGTGATTTGTGAAACGTGTGGGCGGGCGTTGTCATGCAAAAGAATCGGACCCTTTCTGTTGACAAGTGCTGGCTGCAGCTGACGCAATTTTCGGTACATTTCGTCGATTTCTTCACAGTAGGACTCTGCTGTGATGGTTTGGCCTGGTGACAAAAAGTTATAGTGGATCACACCAGCCGATGACCACCAAGCCGTGACCAGAATCTTTTTTTCGTGAGGGTTCGGCTTTGAAAATTACCTCGGTGGTTCGTCGAAATCCAACCACTGTCCGGAACGTCTCCTGTTATCATACATGATCCACTTTTCATCACAGGTGACAATTCGGTCAAAAACGGGTCGTTTCTGTTGCGCAAAAGCAGTGAAGAAGAAACCTCGAGACGTGCCAATTTCTGCCGGTCACTCAAATTGTGGGGCACCCACTTGTCGAGTTTTTTCACCTTCCCAATGCGTTTCAGACCATCCGCAACAGTGGATTTGCCAACGCCTAGCTTTTCTGCAATCTCTCGAACTGTTTGGGATGGGTCAGCCTCCACAAACGCCTTCAAATCCTCGTCAGGTATTGCTTTAGGTCGACCGCTACGAGGTTCATCTTCAAGGCTGAAATCTCCAGAACGAAATTTGTCGAACCATTGTCGCACGGTGCTTTCTCCAACACTATTGGGCCCCCACACCTGGTTAATTTGTCGAGCTGTCTCGACTGCGGATTGACCCAATTTGTAGTTGAAGAAAAATATCGTCCGAAGTTGCTCTTTTGACATGCTTCAAAAAGTCTTGGGAAAAGGGGGTTTATCAAGCAATGGTGAAACGGCAATTATACCATCAGATAGCGCAAAAAATTCTCTTCAGGATGTACTACTGAGACGCAAGGGAGAATGAGTTTTTAATCAGCAATGAATGTACAAAAAATAGTAACACAAAACGCTGAGAACTTTCCGGACAACCTAATAGCAGCGCAACGTCGCTCTCTGATAACATGGTAAACCATCGCGAGCGTGCGCAGTCGCAACAGTATGTTATTTACAATTTACCGCGCGCGACGATGCGTGATTCTACGGTCACAACCCTGTCTAGATATGCAACTTGACTGCACCCTCTCATCTACGATTGAGGTGCTGATAAGTTACTGGTCCTCAGGTGTGTACATGGGCAGTGTGTCATAAAGGAACTTGGTCGCTCTAGGCCTCACAACGGCAGTCTTGACAAGATGCCCACAAAGTGATATGCGCATTCCGAGCGATGTGAATAGCGTACTGAAAATACAAAATCCGACTGTCACTACCTTCCAACTTCACTGCCACGCACTTTCAGGTGGCCAAAGGTGGCAAAGGTAATACCCTGCCTACTCCGCCCATGGTTAATATCAGTCTTAAGAATACGAGCGTCCCCTGGCCGGTTTCTCAATGTACCATTGTTTTGATATGTAGATTTGTACTCTGTACTTTGGTTTCTATTCCAATAATTTTTCGATAACAACGTTCAACGTGTAAAATAGATGCTCATTGAAATTTTTCGAAGGGGAAGGGAAGATGCTCAGAGACATATTATAGCATGGCCATTTCTCGCGTGCCATTAGATGGAAATTGAGCATTAGAGACGTGCTCCATCTCTTCTCTCTGGTGGACGCTGGCGTTTCCAAGGGGATTAAGAGTAAGGAAAAGACGATTTCCGTGGTAGTGAGTTCTCAAGAAGAATCTCAGGGAATCGTGTGTATTAGCTGATTACTTAGCAAGTTCTTGTTTTTTTTTTCTCTTTCGCTTTTCACGTTTTATGTGTTTTTTGTACATTTTGTGGAACTATGCTGTGCTTTGAACTGAATGAACTTTGCTCTTAGTCTCATTGTATCATATAACGAGAAATAATCAAGTAAAGGGACGGGTTCGTGAAACCATTTATTGAATCTTCAACTAATACTGGTGACGTAGATGTCTCATTTCTTACCATATCCGCCACTGTAGTGACCTCGCTCAGCACTACGCGGATAACCCTGTTGATGCTCACCAATGTCGAGCTCAGAAATTGACGGTGCAACGATCTCTTGTACCTGGAATCTCGTTAAAAATAGCTACTGTCATTAAGTGGTAAAACGATTGAACGTACCCCGCAGGATGATGGACAGTGTCCTCCAGGTTCTCCAGCATCACCAGGTGGGCCAAATGGTCCAGGAGGTCCAGGCTCTCCACGAGGACCTGGAGGGCCGGGAGGTCCCGTCTCTCCAATTGGACCAGCTGGTCCAGGATTCTGCGATGGCATGCCATTAGTTCCTGGTGGGCCCTTTGGCCCACGTGGTCCAGGTGGTCCTGGGGGGCCCTTGATTCCCGTGCCGCCGATTGAATCATCTCCAGGTGGACCCTTGATTCCTGGTTCACCCTCCTCGCCTGGATCTCCCTGCGGACCTGCGTCACCCACCCTTCCAGGTTTTCCAGGGCGTCCAGGTAGACCAGGATGACCTGGTTCTCCAGGCAATCCTGGCCGACCAGTTTCACCTTGTGGTCCACGATTTCCTGGCGGTCCTGCTGGACAAATTACACAAGGGAAGCTTGGCTCTGGGTCAAGAGGAACATCAAGACCATCGAGACCAGGTTTACCTTAAATGTGAGAAAAAATTCAAAAGCGATTCAAAATATCGGGAAAACATCATCATCTTACCAGGACGTCCTGGCGCACCATCCATGCCAGGTTCTCCATTAACACCGGGTGGTCCAGGTGGTCCTGGTGGGCATTGTAATTGTACGCACGACGTGCATTGTTGACTATCCGTACTCGCTTCATAGTTGCTATATCCTTGACGTCGAATACGGCCATGGCTTTTGACAAGAACAATATCTTGCCAGATGTTACGAGCGGTGTACTGTAACTGAGCGTATCAGTAACTGTTACATGTCTTCACATGGACTAAGCCAAATAGGTAAGTCAAGATCAAGGTTAGGCTTACGAAGCCCATTGACAGGCAGCATGGAGCTAACAAGTCTCTGTCACTCTGGGCTTATCATCCATTCCATCCTAAAAAGCCATTCTACCTAGGCGTGAATCGTAGAATGACCTTTTCATTCTACCATATCAACTTGCTTAGTACCTATTCATCACTCATTTTATGCTGAACTCTATTTTTTAGCGATTCTGATTATTGCTTTGATGATGATGCCATTACGTTATCCCTCTGCTGATCGTATGACGAAACGAATAACCTTAAAAGCATCCATTCGAGCTTGTAGACGCGTCTGTGCCATCTCCAGTTGAATGTGCAATACTGGAAGGACTACTGCTACCGTCAGAATACAGCCCAGAGACACTGCAGCTGCCACAAATGGCACTTGAATCCGTGAGGATTTCTCCATCCCTGTGAAATGATTGAACATTGAAAGTAAAACAGTGTCGTTACATATTTTCTCTACTGCATAGAACACTTACTGGAGGGAACGACTAAGGAAACGTGAAGTCGCGAAAGGGAGCCGACAACGACAGGTTCGTATGATTGAGAGTTTGAGAGTGAACGGGGTTGAAACGGTGCGACTCGCTGACGTCCTTGGCGCCCAATTTGGGTCAGCGGGGCACCGATGCGATCTGTGGTAGTATCTGAGAGATAGCCTAAACGAGATTCAGGTACCCAAACAAGTAGATATTATTGCTTACGGGACATCTAGATATCTAATAACACTAACGTTTTGATGTTGCCCGAAAAAATTAGCAACCTCGAGAGAAACTTTGGTAAATTCTCGTTCTTCTCCCCCTCTTCTTCGATGGGCGCCCTACCCGGTAGTGCGGCTCGATCTCCTGCTATGATGACTTCACATCAAGTGCCTGATCGGGGCAAGCACCAACTAGGTCTGCGTGCACCATGTCGCTAAATCGTTGTTTGTGACGCCCTTTATGTCGCCTTCTGAGCACGTTGACTCAGAAACCGTCTTAAAGACAAACCGCGTTTGAAAATTGAAAGAGTGATTAGTAGTTACAACCCTTACGAGTCGCTAAATAACTCTCCAAGGAAGAACAAAGCTGAAAGCCATGGAGAACACCCTAAGAAAAACCATGAAGAACACCACAAGTGAGGTCCTGGCAGCCTCCATGAACGCTACACCTGCATATGGCAGTAATGGTCGCGTCATGCAATGCTACTATCATGTAAAAATGAGAAAAATGAGAAATGTAAAGACCGAACTGCAGTCGTCATCCGGTGACTTGATTATTGCGGCAAGGGACGCGACGCGGCTGCGGTGTGTTGCGAGCGCGGCGATCAGCTGTTTCCAGCCTATTTTAGCCATTTTCTCCCTAGTTTACGCTGTTTTGGCTGCTTCATGAAGCACATTAGAACGTGGATTGTTTTTTTTTGTTTCTGCAAGAGAGTGTTTTTGCGATTTTTTTTCAGGTATTTGTTTAATTGTTCAATTGTACGCAAAAACCAGAAGAATCTCAATCATAATTTACTTGTGAAGACAAGAAACAACTAATCGTGAGAAAAGCAGCCAAAACAGCGTAAACTAGGGAGAAAATGGCTAAAAAAAGGCTGGAAACAGCTGATCGCGGCGCTCGCAACACATCACACATGAGATCATCGTCGCGTCCCTTACGCCCCTATTCAAGTCACCGGATGATCACTGTAATTACACCGCGGCGGGAAATTAGGAAGGCGTCAGATGTGCGTCCTATGAAGCCTTCATCACTTACTGTGAAGCAGCGAAAGTAGGATAACCTACAGACTTCTCGTGCGAAAGACGTCTACTAATTGCATGAGTGCGAGGCTGCCCGAAGGCAAGCCATACCCCTCACCTGATAAATGATCCTTTCCACGTACGAGGTGAAGGGTGCGTTGCAGCAGTAGCGTGCAATTTTCTCCGTCTGTAAGTTCAGGAATGGAGCGGCAGGTTAGAAGTGTCTGGGTCTCTCAGCTCCGCCCGCGGCAACCCGGAGGAGTATGGAGACGGTACACGATGTCACCCATATCCAGCTGAAGTTCATGCACTTTTAAACAGAGGAAGAGGCACGATACTGCAATTGCAGAGCCATTTCTGCTCACTTACATCCGTTTAATGAGACTTTTTAGAGCGCAAGAACACAAATATTCTAATAACCACTCTTGAAGCTGACCCATAGCGCGCGCCAGTTGGCGCTAGCCTCAGAAATGGATATCATATTCATGATGAGGACCCTCGAGTGCTCTCGAGCACCGATTTGCAGCTAATATGTGAAAAAAACTAAGGTTTTCCGAGTCGTAATAGTGAAGTGGTG